CTTTTTTTTTAGGAGAGATGGGGTTTCACCGTGTTAGCCAGATGGTCTCCGATCTCCTGACCTGATGCGCCCGTCTGCCTCCCAAAGTGCGGGGATTACTGGCGTGGTTTCACCGCTGTCCAGCCTTTTTATTTTATTTTTGTGGCGGAGTCTTGCCTTCTCCTGGTGGGCTGGAGTGCAGTGGCTTGATCTTGGCTCACTGCAACCTCTGCCTCCCAGATTGAGGCGATTCTCCTGCCTCAGCCTCCTGAACAGCTGGGATTACAGGCACCTGCTACCACGGCCCAGCTAATATTTTCTTTTTTTGGAGACAGAGTCTCACTTGGTCGCCCAGGCTGGAGTGCAGTCGCGTGATCTCAGCTTACTGCAACCTCCTCCCCCTGGGTTCAAGCGATTCTCCTGCCTCAACCTCCTAAGTAGCTGGGATTACAGACGTCTGCCACCACACCCAACTAATTTTTGTATTTTTGGTAGCTAAGTAGCTGGGATTACACCACGCCTGGCTACTTTTGCATTTTCAGAGACGGGGTTTCACCATGTTGGGCCAGGCTCCTCTCGAACTCCTGATCTCAAGTGATTTCGCCCATCTCAGCCTCCCAGTGCTGGGATTACAAGTGTGACCACCTGTGGCTCGGCACCTGGTTTATTTTTGTGCATGCTTTATTTTTAATTTTCCTATGCTACTTTTTTAGCTAAAATTTATACTTAATCTAATCAAGCATTAAGCTAAATCTAAGAGTTTAGTGTTCATATAAGTAAAATACAGTTTTTACAAATCTATTTTTCTTTAAATTATAAATGTGTTAAGAATATTATCCAATGAAATGGGATCCAGAAGCAAAAAAGATGGCTGTGTGTCTTTTCAATATCATCCTGGAGCATTGTCTCAACCATCTCACTTTATGGTGATTTAATCATCTAGAGGTTTTCCCTTTGTTTTCTGTGTTACTTAGTATTGATTAATACTGTTGCACTACTTCAGTATGGAAATTACACAGTAATTTGTAGAATTTTTTTTTTTTTGAGACAGAATCTAGCTTTGTTGCCCAGGCTGGAGTGCAGTGGTGCTAATCTTGGCTCACTAGAAGCTCTGCCTCCCGAGTTCAGGCATTCTCCTGCCTCAGCCTCCTGGAGTAGCTGGGTCACAGGTGCCCACTACCACGCCTGCTAAATTTTTGTATTTTTTTAGGAGAGAGACGGGGTTTCACCCCTGTTAGCCAGGATGGTCTCAGTCTCCTGACCTTTGTGATCCACCTGCCTCGGCCTTCAAAGTGCTGGGATTACAGGTGTGAGCCACCGCATATCTGGCCGTTAATTTGTAGATGTTTATACAGAAGAGAAAGCAAATATTTCTGCTGAGTAGGAAATATAACTCCAATGCTTATGACTGCACTCTATAGGACACTAACTCATGGTGTGTCTAACTCCAGCAAATTCTATGTCAACACTCTTTTCTCAAACCTCTATAAACTTTGGCTGGACACAGTGGCTCACACCTGTAATCCCAGCACTTTGAGAGGCTGAGGCAGGTGGATCACCTTAGGTCAGGAGTTCGAGACAAGGCTGGTCAACATGGCAAAATCCCATCTCTACTAAAAATATGCTTCAGCCACAAATGGTGACACACACCTGTAATCCCAGCTACTCAGGAGGCTGAGGCAGGAGAAATTCCCGAACGCAGGAGGTGGAGCCAAGATCGCGCCGCCACTGTACTTCAGCCTGAGCTGATAGAATGAAACTGTGTCTCAAAAATAAATAATAAAATAACAAATCAGAGATTGTGAATAGGATGTTGATGTGCCCAAGTTAAGTGAATTAATTAGGAGCTTGAACTCCACGAGGGCAGAGGCAGGTTGCAGTGAGCCGAGATCGCACCACTGCACTTTAGCCTGAGTGATAGAATGAAACTGTGTCTCAATCAATCAATCAATCAGAGACTGTGAATAGATGTTGGATGTACCTAACTTCTATGAATTAATTGGGAGCTTGAACCCAGGTTTGTCCTTTAGATCTCAGAGACCGAAGACTTCCAAGTGATTTGTGGGTAATGTATAGGTCTATACTACTCCTAATTCACATTTTCAGACTTCCTTAGTTCTCACGGACCTTCCATGTCGTTTGTATGTTTAGAAGCTGAGGTCCCTGGTCTTTTTCCCCCCTGTAATTAATTTCACACCTACCCCTATCTCAACTCAATACAACCCCATTTTCACTCCTCATCTGCTGAGAAATTGAGTCCATAAAAAGTGAACTCCCTTTTAAACCCAGATCTTCTCCTACTGCTGCTGCAAGGACAGACATTCCATTCTTGTTCTCTCTCTCCTCCTCCTCCTTCACTTCTTCTAGTCCTTTGTTCTTCCTGGCATTCGATTACTCTCTCTTTCTCTCCTTTGTCTTCAATCTCCTCTCTCTTGCAATAGCCAACTATAAACTGCTCAAGCTTCTCATTCTTAAAAGATCACTCTTAAATGCAAATTCCCTGCTGCCTTATGGCTCTCCTTCAAAAGTAATCTACATTTTCTCTATTTTCTACTTCCTCAACACACTAACATTTGAATCCTGCTTCTATGACCCTGACCTAAATTTCTATTAAAGGTACATAGATAAACCTAATATGTATTTGTGACTTCCTATTGTTTCGATTTTTAAAGAGGCCGATCTTACTTTAACTCTGTAATGATGCTGCCTCGACCTTCTGATGATTCTCTACTTCTGTGAAATCCTCTACTGTCTTGACTTCTATAGGCTCGCCCTATTCAAGCTCATTGAACGTCTGTCACTATGTTTTTGATCTGTATTGCTGCAGTTAGTTCCTCTATCTGTCTTGTGAATATTCTCCATTGTGTTAATCTAGCTTTCTTCCTCCTTTTCGCTTTCTCATATTACCTCAAATGGTTTTATACACTCTTGTGGTTTTAACCACAATGTAGAGTTTTTGCTGTAGTTATGCTTTCAAATTGCATATTTCTTTTTCTTTTTTTTTTCTGAAATGGTGTCTTGCTCTGTTACTCCAGTCTGGAGGCAGTGGTGCATGATCTCTTGGCTCACTGCAACTTCCTCTCGCCTCCCAGGTTCAAGTGATTTCCCACATCAGCCTCCCGAGAAGCTGGGATTACAGGCATGTGCCACTATGCCTGCTTAATTTTTTTTATTTTTAGTAGAGACAGAGCTCACTCATGTTGGTCAGGCTGATCACAAACTCCTGACCTCAGGTGATCCCGCCTCCGGTCTCCCCAAGTGCTGAATTACAGGCGTGGTTTCACCATGCCTAGCCTCAATTGTATACTTCTAATATGACTTTTCTCCTGAACTTTAAACCGTGTATCCAACTTTTCACCATAGTCATATCTTTTGATTGCACAGGTAATTTAATGTCAATATATTTAAAAATGAATTTACCACATTTGTCTCACTCTTTGACTTTCACCTACATTTCTGTCTCAATTCCTGTTTCCATCCATTCATTTGCTCACCTAATTCTTAAACATGGAAATCATCCTCACTTCCCTCTTAACCCAAAATTCAGTTGTGCAGGTTATACACTGAGAAAGGAGCTCTTTGTGGTCAGTGTGATAAATCAGAGATTAATGAACTTTTTCTGTAGGACCAAATACTAAGTGCTTTAAACTGTTTTACCATATGGTTTCTGTTGCAACTACCAACTCTAGTGCTGTAATGCAAAAGCAACCATAGATAGTATGTAAACAAATGAGAGAGGCTGGGCACAATGAGAATTCACAAAAATTAATGTAGTTTACTGTCCCTTGGGTAGAGTTGTGGGTCACTGAAATTCAGACTATGTCTTACTTGGTTAAATCATGGGCTCTTAGAGGGTGCATATAAATGGAGCTTTTTATTGGGCTAGTGATTCTTACCTTAAGCCCCTGGTGACCCAAATTTAATCATCACATCGTTTCAAATTCATTTTCTGGATATATCTTGAATATATGGCTTCTCCTTTCCAAATTCATTGTCATTGCCTAAGTTTAGTCCTTGAACAATATTTTAAAGACTTCCTTATCTGACTTTGTATCTTAAAGTCCTACAAATTTATGCTCCTAAAATTCAAATCAAACCATGTCACCAACTTACATAAAGGGAAAATTCATAGCCCTACACACAGCACATTTCATATAACTTTCTAGGCTCGTCTTTCTTCATCATCCTTTGATGCAAGGGATTTTGGCTCCTTAGTTCAGCAGAATTCAGGATCTCATCTCATGACCAGGAAGAATTAGGCAGGTAGACATAATGAAGGGTGAGGATGATGCAATTTATTATGCGAAAGGGGAGCTCCTGCAAAGAGAGGGTTTCTCCAGCAGGCTCCCACCTCACAATGGAGTACCAGACTTTCACAGGCACGCTGGAAAAGGCCAGGCTCCTCCCTAGCATAAGGCACGAATTCTGGTGGTTCCCACCAGTTTTCCTAGTATGCAATGTATGCCCCCAGCAAACCATAGGTAGCATCAAAAAGGCAACATTTGATTACTTAAAAGGCATTATTCAGGAAAGAATCAATTGGGTAGGCCACCAGGGAAAGTTTTCCTCTGTGTCACAGGTTTCATCTGGACCAGGAGTCCGGTCTTTCAGCCTTTGACTGTTTTGGGCTTGAAGGTGGGCTCACAGGGGACCCTTCCCCATTCAAGCCTAGGCATCTGTCTGCCTCTTGCCTCTATCACTTTCTCTTGAGTTTTATATTTTAGCAACACTGAGTCATCTGTGTCCCAGGAAGCACCCTATATCTGTTTATCTGCTGTCCTCTACCTTTACTTACCTTCCCTTCTTCACACTTCAACCCAAAAAGTCACTTCCTCCAAAATTCGATCAACTGTCATATTTTTATGAATATTTCCCTTTAATTCCTCACAACAGCTGACAAAATTAACTACTTCCTCTTTCTTTGCAAGTTCTTGGCTTAAGGCAGGATATCAGTAATTAAACATATTTTCACCGCATTGGCATATGGTCATCTGACTAATGTGTTTTTCTCCTGTACTCAGAGCATATGCCCTTAGTCATCTGTGTATCTGAGGTGAGCACAGGGCCTACGTGAGTATTATGCAAAAGTGGTGCATTCTCAATGTTCGTTCAACATGCAGAGAAAAGTAATCTACATTTTCTCTATTTTCTACTTCCTCAACACACTAACATTTGAATCCTGCTTCTATGACCCTGACCTAAATTTCTATTAAATGTACATAGATAAACTAATATGTATTTGTGACTTCCTAATATTGTTTTGATTTTTAAAGAGGTCAATCTTACTTTAACTCTGTAGTGATGCATCTGACCTCTGATGATTCTCTCTCTACTTCTGTGAAATCCCCTACTGTCTTGACTTCTATAGGGTCATTCCCATTCAAGCTCATTGAACGTCTGTCACATGTTTTTGATCTGTATTACGTACTAGTTACTCTATCTGCCTTGCAGAATATTCTCCATTGTGCTAATCTAGGCTTTCTTTCCTTTCTACTCTTTTCATGTTACCTCATTGACTTGAATTCCTCTGAAGACTGAAATGTGGAAACAGCTATTCCCGAGGCGCCTTTCCAGAGAGGTCTAAAATATTTACATGTTTCTTATATTCCTTAAATGCAGAAAGAACTTCCAGATCATTATAGGCCTTGGATGGAAATTGCCAACAAACTTCCTCAATTGATCGATGCTCACCAGCTTGACAGCTCATGGACAAGGTATTCTTCTCTTCACCCCCTTATCACATTCTGTTTTCTCATCATCATACCACTTTTATTTATTTTGCGTGAAGTGTGTCAATTGATCATTACCATCGAACTTATCAGCTGTTTATCTCTTACCTTCCTCGAAAACAGAATGACCCCTTCTGATACATGTGTTTTTCTGTTGTTTCAGAGTCAGCACAAACAATGCCTGTCACATACCAATCACCACCAATGTTTGTTTAAAGAAGAATCTAGGTGAGAATGATAAACTAATGGATAAGCTATGGCTCAGGGAAGGCCAGCTTGAAATTCTAGGTTCCTCATTCATGTATCCGTGTTCAGGGCTCTGCTGTTGCTGAGGGGTTCACTCCTGATTTTGTCCTGTGTTAAGCAGAATAGTTAAATGGGAGGAATTTCTGAATTATAAAATTGGCCATGGGTTCTACAGAAACATCCAATAAGCCCAAATTCCGCCGTATTATTAGGCTGGTACAAAGTGAATTGCAGTTTTTGCCATTAGCTTTCACGACAAAACCACATGCTTTTTGGGAACAACCCCAATTTTGCTATGTAACTCTTGAAAAATTTACTGAACACTGTAATCCCATTTCTTATTTATAAATGTGAGAAACTCTGGTCTCACAGTATTGCAGCTATGGGAACTAAATCACAAAGTGGCCCTTTGTAGTTCTTGTCCTATTATAGCATTCAGTGTACATTCATTACTTCCCTGTAGTCTCTTCTCCATCTGTCTTAATCTTACCAATTTGGAGTACCACATAATTGCAGAAGTCCAATAAAAGCTTTCTACTCTCCAAAATTCCCTTACTGATGGATGATATTTAATGTCTAGAATTACAAATTCTTTTAAAATACTTCATTGAATGCCTGCTCTGTGCAAAGCATTAGAACCCTGTAGAAGATGAATAAGGACTGGCTTCAATGTCTATAAAGATAGCAGCTACAGAGTAATTTCTTTTGCTTGATAGATAAAATGTTGTGTTGACAAGACCAAAGAAATCCAAAAATAAGAAAAAAATTAAGAAAAATAACTGTAAGCACAGAAAAATAGAGAAAGTTCCAATGATGGAATAAAAGGAATTTTTTTGACCGTATTAAGCAAATCATGTATAAAATCCAGAAATAAGTTACAGACCCATGTCAAGTATTTAACCAAAGCAGAGGGAGATCCCTGCTTTAGCCCCTTTTCCCCATCTCCAATAGCAGAAGAGAAGTGGTGGGAAGCCTGGAACAGTTGGGGTGGAGGGCAGGTTAGAATTCAGTTTGTGAACTATGAGGTCCTCTGCCGCAGGTGTATCTTGCACTGCTCAGGCTGCGAGGGCATTTTGATTAAACTGCTATAATAAAAGAGAAGGACTTGTCAAATTGGGGCCTCCTAGCACAGCATTTTCTGAAACCAGTCCCTATTACTTCTTTAGCCTTTGGCTAAAATCGAGCAGAAATCCATCACCTAACATTTGTACTGGGTTTAGTTGTGTGCAGTGGAGCTCACGCCATAATCCTAGTACCCTTTGGGAGGCCAAGGCTGGCGGATTGCCTGAGCTCAGGAGTTCGAGAGACTAGCTCTGAGCAACATGGTGAAACCATGCCTCTACTAAAATACAAAAATAGCTGGTGTGGTGGCTCATGCCTGTAGTCCAGCTATTTGGAGGCTGAAGCAAAAGAATCGCTTGAACCTGGGAGACAGAGGTTGTAGTTAGCTACTGAGATCACACCTACTGAACTCCTCTGGGCCACAGAGTAAGACTTCTGTCTCAAAAACAAACAAAACAAACTATATATATATATATATATATATATATATATATATATATATATATATAAATTTTCCTGGTTTAGTAGTGCTTCCTAGAAGTCATGTTCATGTATAATCTAGAAAGTGGTCTTATTTGGAAATAGATGTGTACAGATGTATTCAAGTTAAGTTGAGTGTGATACTGTATTAAATTCTATATGATGCGTGTCCTTACAAGAAGAGGAAAAATCAAACACAGGGACATAGACACAAGGGAAAACATCACTGTGTAAAGATGGAGTGTGTATGAATTGGAATGATGCATTGACAAGCCAAGTGATGTGCCAAAGATTGCTGGCAGCCACCAAGAGTTAGGAGAGAGGCATGGAACAGAATGGAACAAATTCTCTCTCAGAGGCTCCAGAAGAAACCAACCCTATTGATACCTTAATTTGGGACTCTATCTTCCATAACTGTGGCAGAGTACATTTCTGCTGTTTTAAGTCATGCCGTTTAGATCATTAGTTGTGGCAACCCATAAAACTAACACAACACTCCCTTGGTCTCTATCACCTCTCTTTTTTTTTTTTTTTTTTTTTTTTTTTTTTGAGACAGAGTCTCACTGTGTCTCCCAGGCTGGAGTGCAGTGGTACGATCTTGGCTCACTGCAACCTTCACCTCCCAGGTTCAAGCAATTTTCCTGCCTCAGTCTCCTGAGTAGCTGGGACTACAGGCACCAGCCACTACGCCCATCTAATTTTTGTATTTGTAGTAGAGACAGGGTTTCACCATATTGGCCAGGCTGGTCTCGAACTCCTAACCTTGTGATCCACCAGCCTTAGCCTCCCAAAGTGCTGGGATTACAGGCGTGAGCCACTCTGCATAGCCTCTATCCCTACTTTTAATTGCCTAGAAAATATCTAACAAATTAAGTCCAGTTTTTAGATTTTACCAATTAAAGGCTGAGACTGAAACAGGAATTGTTTGTGAGAAGCAAATACAATAGTTTCCAGAGACTGAATCAGGAATTTTCTGTGAGAGGCAAATATGATAGTTTCCAGAACCACAGGTGGAGCTATAGACAAAAACATGTTTTCTGGATCCTTTACTTGCTACAGACAACAGAATAAGTGAATTTACAGCATTGATGTGCCTACAGTGGAATCTAAGACAACCACCTTGTCTTAGAATGTCTCAACATACCTATCCGTATCTTGAAACAAAATATATTAATTGGCTTAGACCCATCCACCACATTTCCCAGGAAGACATGATCAGAGAGAGCTATGCAAGAAGAAATCCAGCGGAATTTGGAAATACAAGACAAGAAAAATCCATATTAGACACTAATCTTAATAAAACTAACCTTGTTCATGAATTTGAACACACAGAATTGTCAAACAATATGGAAAAAATGGCAACTCAAAAGAAGAGGGTAGCCCACTCGGCATTAAGTGACCAATGGCTTCCAATGCTAATTAAGAGGATACTCGTGCTTTAAATATTCTATTTTGTGTAATCCAGTATATTGCCTTCATAAATTAAGTGAAAGCTGATATATAAAAACAACTATTAGAAATAAAAAACCACACACATCCAAAAACTCCTCAATATAAACTCAACAAATTCAGTGAAACATTGATTGTAAAAAATATATATAGTGATTTAGGTACTTCTTTGAGAAATTTACAAAGCATAAAGCAAAATCAAAGAGTATGAACTATCAGAAAAATAAAATATATAAAAAGAGAAATACAGGTGATCCAAATTGTTATCATGGATTCCTATGCTAGATGGGTGGAGGAAAAGTAAAACTTCCAACATATAAGCACAAATTTTTCAGACCTTAAGAAATATTTGAGTTTTTTATATCAGAAAGAAATGGGGCAGGTTGGGGCACATGTAAATACTCAGATGAAATTGTGAATTTTCTAGCATAAAGAAATCTGAATGTTCATAGAAAACAAAAAATGAAAAACAGTTTATTTTACAAGAGTAAATACATAGGACTGTTTACCTGTAACACTAAATATTAAAAGACAGTTTCTTTTCTTTTTTGAGACAGAGTTTCACTTGTCGCCCAGGTTGAGTGTAATGGAAGATCTTGGCTCACTGCAACCTCTGCCTCTGTTCACGTGCAATTCTCCTGCCTCAGCTTCCCAAGTAGCTGGGATTACAGGCGCCCACCACCACGCCCATATTTAGTATTTAGTGAGAGACAGAGGAATGCCATGCTGCTGGGGCTGGCTCCAAACCGACTTCAGAAAGAATCAACTCATCGCTGGTCTCCGGAAGCACACAGGATGCACAAGCATGACACTTATGCCAGCTCTAAAAGACAATTTCTTCATACCTATTTGGATGGCTAAACTTCTTTTTTAATCTGGTCATATCAAATGCTGAAGAGGATGTATAGCAATAGAGACTTTCATTCATTGCTAGTTGAAATGCAAAATGGCATGTTTCTAATTTGAAAACTAGCTTGGCAGATTTTTATAAAATGAAACATAGATTTACCAATAATAACTCAGCAATAGCATTCCTAAGTATTTATCCGCAAGTGGGAAATTTATGTTCCCAGAAAAGAAAATCCATATGTGAATGTTTATAACAGCTTATTCATAATCACTAAAAAAAAAAAAAAAAAAAAAAAAAAAAAAAAAAAAAAAAAACTTGAAGAAAACAGGATATCCCTCAACAGGGGAATGAATAAACCAAGTTATAGTAATTGTAAATTGTGGAATAGATAGTGGAATAGTATTCAGTGATACAAATGATTGAGCAATTAATTTGTGCAATGACAGGGACGAACCTTAAATACATTTACCTACATGAAAGATGTCAGGCCTATATTTTATGATTCTTTTCAAATGACTTTCCAGAAAAGGCAAAACTAGAAGGATTAAATATACCTTTATGGTTACCAGAGACAGGCAAGGAGTGGGTAGCTGACTGCAAAGGTAACATAGAGGGGAATGTTTAGCATGATCGAACTGTTTTATATGGCACTCAGGTGATGATACATGGCTCTAGGCACTGAAAAACCCCATGAATTTATGTCTGAGAATGGACTTTCATGTATGCAAATTTTAAAAAATAAACCAGAATATTGGAGAGAATACTAGGATGGAATGCAGATGTGACAAATAAAACTAGCCAGGACTCTCAACAAACTAACACAGAGGCAGAACTGACACCATGCTCTTACTTATATGTGAGTTAGACAATGAAAACACAGGACACAGGGAG